TATATATATATATATATATATAGAGGAGGGTTCAAACGACACCGGTGTAACTTTTATTAAGTGTTACACTACTCAATAACTTTATATTAATTTTGAATTTTGAAAATCCAACCGTTATATTGAAAATTCATATCTCTTGATCATATATACAAAATTTTATATTAATTCAAGATGATTTGATACTTCATTCTTATAAAACAAAATTGACGTAATATATTCATTTTAAAATACACTAAAATATAAACATTTTGATTACCTTCAAGTTGTTCAAATTTAACAAAATTTGATATATATGATCTAAGAGATGAATTTTCAATATAACGGTTGGATTTTCAAAATTCAAAATTAATATAAAGTTATTGAATGGTGTAATACTTAGTAAAAGTTACACCGGTGCCGTTTGAACCCTCCTCGTATATATATATATATATATATATATATATAATGGCAAGTGATTAGGTTTATTCGATGTCCCCGAAGGTGCAAATGAAGGCAACAGTTTAAACACTTAAACTAAATTTGGGAATTTTAAAGATTTTTTTCAATTTCTTTTAAAGGGTTCGAAGGATAAACAAAGTGCACGTACCTTCAGATACATTGAAGTTTGAATGATGTATTATATTATTGTGGTGAAATATTGTATAATACAAAATTATACTTAAAATATTGGATTATGTTTGGATGAAAAATTTAAATGAAATAAATTATTTTTTGCTTAAATATGTTTTTAATCTATTAAGTTTTAAATAAATTTATTTTTGATCCCTCAAATTTAAAATATTTTTTAGTTTCTGTAATTTGAAAAATTTTATATGTTATTAATAACATATGTAAAAGTGATAAATTGAGACTATTATACAGGATCGATATTGGATTATTTAATAAAATAATTTGTGACAATACTTCATAGATTATTTAATAAAATAATTTAAGTATAAGGATTAAAATAATTTTTTTTTTTGAAATTATGAAAATTAAAAAAGTTTTAAATTTGAGAAACTAAAAATTATAACAAATTTGAAGGACTAAAAATATAATTAAGTCTTATTTTGTTTTTGAAAAATTTTAAATGCCTTGAAGTGAAATGTATAGTTTGGATGGAGAACTTTCAACAAAATTTTTGAAATTTAAGTATATGTAAAATTCTTTATAATAGTAGAATTTCAAATTCTAAAAAAAAGAGAACTTGAAATTCTTTTTATTTTTTCTTTCTTATATCACCTGTATAATTTGTTTCTCTCTCCCATCTCTCATACTCTATTTTCTCTCTCCCTTCTATGCTCTCTTTCTTACTTTTTTTTTTCTTTCCCAATTCATTTTCTTAATTATTGAATGTTCAAAAATATTTTTAATTACTAAATATTATCTAATATTAATTTTAAAATTATTAAATAT